TTCCAAGTATATCACAAGAATGATGATGGTCCCAAATTGGCACACAAATACATTCCTCTAGGACTGCAGGAACCTCATTAATTTCTTAATACTAGAATGATATTGGTGGTGTATTTTACTTGATAGTGAATTTGATTTCTCTCTCCTTAAGTTCGTAGACTCACTAGCCTGAACACCATGAAGCTAGTGAACAATGGTGCTCACAACTATGTGACTTCACTGATTTCTTTTTCCTCTGGTTACTTCTTCTTTGCTCTCATGAATGACAGAAACTTTTATGATCTCTTGTAGACTCACTAGCCTGAACACCTTGAAGCTAGTGAACAATGGTGCTCACAACTATGTGACTTCACTGATTTCTTTTTCCTCTGGTTATTTCTTCTTTGCTTTTATGATCTCTTGTTTTTACTTCAGTATGGGGATCTCGTAGAGGTTAGGTCTTATATTTGAAATTAACATTTTAGAACTAAAATATAATTCAAAGAATTATCTTTATCATTCTATTTTTGCCTTCTATCGCTGGTGGGATGTCTTATCAGACAATTATCCAAGGTTGAATAGGTGAATTTTAGAAGTTCAAAAGTACAGCATCAAATAATGATTGGCCTAAGGATCTCAACAGTAGAGGATGAGACATCATAATGAGAAAGCACTGAGTCAAAAATTCTTATGGGAATGAAAGTCATAAGAGATTAAAGTATTTTAAATATTCTGAATGGTAAATTGTAAAGCAATAAGTGGGGAGAGTGATAAAAGCTCTAATTCTTTACTTAAAAGAGTTTAGGTAAAGATCTCTGAAATCTCAGTCTATTGTCAGTGAATCATAAGATTAATAATGAATAAGAATTTTAAAATATGTAAAATGGTTTATAAAACCACTTTTTTTCCTGTGATTTGTTTTTTGTTTTAAATATATCATTTTATAAAACTATAAACTCCATTTTTAAGATATATTTCTGTGTATATCACTTAGTGGAGCATTTTGGATGCTCTCAATTTTCAATAAATAGCTAGAATAGGGATAAAATATGCACCTTAATGTTTCACATATTAATGTAACAATAATAATAGATTATTGATAAAATATTTTTATATAAATGAAAATGAAATATTTTATTGTCTTCCATCAAGTTGGCAATGTTCTTGTTGGTAGATTCTTCTTCCTTTTTTGAAGTTGTATAATCTGATATCAGACTTGATATCACAGGTATGTTGGGTTTTTTCTTTGTCACCTGTGTTATTTGATCCCTTCCCTTCCTTATTAACTGCTGTACTTAGTTCTGAGTTTTTGATATTGGGGTCCATACTGAATGTTTTGCAGATCAATTATTTGCAGAGGTTAGTATGCTGCACCCCCACATACTGCAGAGGCTCATGCACTTGCACATCATCATTCAGCAAATCCTTTCACTATGGACAACAGTTGGATCTTCTTCCCCTTTGGGGTCCAGACCAAAATACTTCACTGTGTTTTTCTCAAGGCTTTCTGTTGTTCTCCCGAGGGTTTTTCAGCAGGAGCTCGTACTCTCCTACTCACCAACTTCTCCAGATTGTCGTCATCTGCCGTTTCACTCCACACTTGACTTCTGTATTGCTGGGATCTCTTAGGTCAGGATGCTTTGTTAACACATGTGCATTTCCCCCAACTTCCTCACAAAATCTTTGATCAGGACATTTTCTGAGATCTATGATCTTTGGTGTGCTTCCAGACAACTTGGTGTCTCATGTTGAATCTGCTAGATTGCACACTTCCCTTACTTCCCATTCTTCCAACCTCCTCATTCTTTATTGGTTCCTCTTTCCCAGACCACGTCTACATTTTATACCATTGTTCACTGACTCCCTGTATGACATCAGCATTACCAGTGACTACCCTATAAATTTGGGTCCTGTAGGAACCAGGCTCACTCGTTTCTCAAGAGTGTGGGAAACTTTTGACATTGACCCTTTGGTCATTTGAGTTTTGTCAGAAAGCCTCTTCCTCCTTTTCTTCACACCTCTCACCTTATCCTCTGTCCCAGTTTCTTTCCTCCATTAAGATCTCGTTTCTTGCCAGTATGTCTGAGAAGTGGTTCAAGCCTTTCTCAACAAAAGCTTGATCAGACAGGTTTCTCCTGGGCTTCCAGGGTTCTTTTCCTGACTTTTTGTTGTCCCAAAGAAGACCGGAGTTGGGCAAACTGTGATTGATCTCTCCAATTTAAATCACTTTCTTGATGTGCCTCAGTTCACCATGGAATCCTAACTCTCTTCAGATGGGCCTTTCTTCCAGGGCTTTGAATTATGAAATTCGATGTGTCTGATGCTTATCTGCACACATCCCTTTTCCTCAGGCTTCATGTTGTTTTGTACATTTCATCCATGAGGATCATGTTTATCTATTCCAAGCTTTTCCTTTTGGGCTGGAATCAGCACCCTATGTTTTCTGTCAGGTAGTCTAGTTGTTTGCCTGATTCTTTCATTCTTACGGGCTTAGTTTCCATAATTCTATGAATGACTGACTCCTTCTGGTTTCATCCTTTGCAGAGTCTTCCTCAAACACTCAACTTCTCCTCAGAGAAGCAGATTGGGTGGGCTGATTAATCAAGGTGGAGAAGTCCATTATCCACATCAATCCATATCTTATTCATTTGTGGGTGTTTCTCAATTCACATTTCAGTCAAACCCAACCTTCTTCTCTTCATCTGTGATTCATGGAGTTTATAATTCAGAGGGTACTGTCAGAACCTTTTCTCCCTGTGTGAAAAGTACTGTCTCTTTTGGGGGCTTAAGCATCACTGGAGGCTCTTATCCCTCTGGGCCATGCCCACATTTGTTCCTTGTAGTGGGTACTACAAATTCATTGGCACCTCATCAGGGACCCTCTGGATTTACAGATTACCTTCCTTCTTCCCTTCAGTTTGACTTCCTCTGGTGGTTACCAGAGGAAGTCAAACTGAAGGGAAGAAGAAAGGTAATCTGTAAATCCAGAGGGACAATATGACTGGGGGATACCTATTCCTTCTACTCCTCTGGATGGCCATGTCTTCACATATACCTTGTTGTCAGGATGGGGTGCATGCTGCATTACACAGTAGATCTTTGGCTATTGGTTTCAGGAGGAATTAGGTCATCACTTTGGTACTCCTTGCTGTTCATTAGGTGATGATTCATTTTCTGTCATCTCTAGGCTCGGCATAGCCAGGTGGTTAAAGTGCTCGACTCGCAATCTGAGGGTCGTGGGTTCGAATCCCCATCCCACCAAAAATGCTCGCCCTTTCAGCCTTGGAGGCATTATAATGTGATGGTCAATCCCACTATTCATTGGTAAAAGAGTAGCCTAAGAGTTGGCAGTGGGTGTTGATGACTAGCTGCCTTCCGTCTTGTCTTTCACTGCTAAATTAGGGATAGCTAGTGCAAATAGGCCTCATGTAGCTTTGCACGAAATTCAAAAACAAACTGTCATCTCTACAGGGCATCACAGTTATGATTCATTCCATCAACTCGACAGTTATCTCTCATATCACCAGTAAAGGGGGCATTCGATCCCGCCCTTATGTTCTTGCACTCTAGATCTGCTCTTCTGGGTTCACAGCCAAATTCGTTTGCTGGCTTTTCACATACTAGGTGCTCTCAATCTTGTTGCAGATCATCTGTCATGTCCCGAAAAGATTTTACCCACAGAGTGGTCTCTCGACCCCCAGGTATTACAATGGCTATGTTCTCAGTGGGATACTCCCCAACTGAGTGCATTTGCTTCTCGTTTGAATGCATACTTTCCTTTATGCATACTCTAGCATCAGTCTTCTACCCCACGTTATTTCTCTCATCCAGTCCACTCTATATGGGGTTCTTCTTGTGACTTCTTTCTGGCAGGCTCAACTGTGGTTTCTGTCTCTTCTCCAGGAACAACTTTCATTACCTCTCTCTCTCTCCCAGTCCCTCCTCTGGGAACCTCACTCATGGGTGCTTCATCCCTCTGTTCCCACATTCTGGCTTCACACCTTGCTTTTGTCCAGTTTCTTGTGAGGGATTCGGGATTATCTACATGTGTAGAATATCTGTTTTCTCACACTGTTCTTTCCTTATCCATGTCTGTGTATCATCGTAAGTAGAGAAATTTTCATTTTTAATCTATCTGCCATGGATTCTCCTCTTTCTCTCCTTCCCTTCCTCGGGTATCTGTGGGAGTACAAGGCTAGTAGCAAGCAAAAATTTGTGCAAGAGAGAGCAGTCAAGTTGGAAATAGCTGTAACTGTGAGAAGAAGTATCTATTATAAATATATTTTCAGTTTAGGAAAATATTAACTTCTGGTTGTGAAGACACCTGAAGTTACACACATACTGTTGGAAGCCTTGAACATTTCCAGAACTCAAGGATGTAATGGTAGTTGGCCAGCATACAAGATGAGATGCACATTGTTGCTGTGATGTCCATTTTCAACAGTTGCTGTATTTTGTCATACTTTAATATTTACATCTATATTATACCCTTAACACCTCTGTGAAATTTATCCTTCTTATGCTATAATTTTTGTGAACTATGATGTGCTGAAAGGTTAAATTTCTTTATAATAACTCTGTACTTGAAATTGTAAGAAGGGAAAGAGACAGTAATAAAAGCCTGTTTATGTTACTCCAGAATAGGCCTTGTATTTTATTATACTGAAGCTGATATTACTGTGTTTAAGAGTGCCCTTATTACTGACTAATGCACTTAATTTGCCTAAATACTTAACTCAGTTTTTAGTTAATTATTTAAGTATTTGATATAAAACATTACCATTCTGTGATAAATATGCTTAGTACCTATTTGAACTTTAATTCATCATACTGATAACCTAATATTTTTAGGATTGATAGAAAATTTAATTTCTTATTCTTTATTCAGTATAAAAACATTTTAATTGAAAAAGTTGTACACATATAGGGTCCAATTAAGTGTTCTTAAATGACCATTAAAATTGACTTTTTGTTCTTAGTCTGTTAAGTTCATTATTTTATAGCCTTTGGTAAATTTTTAGGTTGATGATACTGTCGATGGGATTAGGGAAGGTCTCTCTGCTGGTTGCTGGACTATTGGGGTAGCTAAAACTGTAAGTATTGCTGCTTCTTAATGTGAATATTACTAAAAATATAAGTGATGTAACTGTTAAAATAAGTATTCTTGATGTAGCTAAAAGTACTGTTAAAATAGCTAAAACTACAGTTTTTTTTTAATGTAAATACTGTTGGCCTTGTTAAAAATATTTTAATACATTCTGTTACAACTGTTGAAATAAGTATTGTTGATGCTGCTGAAACTACTGTTGGAGAATTGAAAAAGTGGAAGTACTCCTAGTGTGGCTTGTTCTTTTAGTATTGTTGTTTTTCTGAGTACTTATAGTTTTTTATAGTTAAGCTGTATATATATTGCTGATGAAATTAAAACTATTAGTGTTTTTTAGTACAGGCTAAGTGTAATATAGCATACATTTTCAGCTTGTTAATATGACCCACCATAAACAGTAAGTCAATCAAAAGTGATAAGTATTACTGTTATTACAGAGTAATTATGTGGGACTAACTGAACAACAACTAGATGACCTTTCACAGTTGGAGCTGAAACAGAAACTGGCCCATGCCTATGACATATTGATAGACTCTGGAGCCCACTATGTAATAGATACTGTTGTAGAACTCCCTCTGGTGATAAAAGACATTAATCGTAGGCTTGCTGGAGGTGAAAAACCATAGACTGAAGAACTGGATTGTTTTACTGTTTTTTAAATAAAAAAGTAAAAATAAATTCTTGATAATACAAGTCATCACTGTTTTATGCATCATACTCCACAAGATTTGCTTCCTAAAGTAATATCAAATATTGTATTCAAATTAATATGTCCAAAATATGACCCACAAGATTTGTTTCCTAAAGTAATATCAAATATTGTATTCAAATTAATATGTCCAGAATATGCTCCACAAGATTTGCTTCCTAAAGTAATATCAAATATTGTATTCAAATTAATATGCCCAAAATATGCTCCACAAGATTTGATTACTAAAGCAATATCAAATATTGTACTCTAAGTAATATGCCCAAAATTGCAGATTTTTTTTTCACATTCCTTTTATTAGTTTAACACATAAAAATCTGCTATGTATGTGATTTTATCACAAAGTTTTGTCCTATTGGTTTTTAATGATTTGTCAGCTTTAGACAGTTAAACTGTAACTTTTAGTGTATTCAAACTGTTTATAATTATCAAGGATGTTAAAAAAGGTGAGAAATAACCTTAGTTTTGTTTTTATATTTTTTTACAATATTTCTGAGGTATTTTCACTTCAGATTTGTATTGTCCTTGAAATGTTTAGTATTGAATTTGATATATTAATATATATATATATATATATATGTTTGCAATATTTCTTTACGTTTCACTAATTGTATGTTTTATAGATGTCCAAAGAAGTACAAATACTTTTATTATGTTATAAGTTTTTATAACATGACTGTATGTAAAATGTATAACTCACAATGTAGTACAAGGTTTGAAAAGAGGAAAAGGATCCTCATATTTGAAATGTTTTATTCATCTTCTTGAAAGAACCTCCATCAAGAAGAAATAATCTTGGATTATGCTATGATATACTCAGTGTAGATGAATCTAATTATTAACACAAACAGTATACTGCTTTCAGAATCTGAATATTTTTGAGGTAGGTAAGCTGATTTTGTCAAACTTTTAAAAGGCTAATACCAAATAATTTTGGGACATGACTTGTTTCAGGCCTCTTTCTTAATGGTCCTGGTGCTCTAAATTGATCCACATTTCTTTGTTGTCCAATTCTTTTAAGTAAAGGTATGTTCCTGTCTTGGGAATTATAAATTCTTAATCAGAATACGTCTTTATAGTCTGAACATTTGAATATTTTGCATCAGAAAGGGCTGTTACTTACCCTTTCCCAAAATAATCAGTTTTCAGTGGCATCACACTACCTATGAATAGCCAGACAATGTTGAAATGTAATTCTGATACATACCTTTCCACAGCATCTTTATGTCAGCTGTGATTGTCACTTAACTTCATGTTTTACATATTCAGAATTGTTTTAATATAATGTACTCAACCTTGTATTATTCCTGGTTTACAACTTTGTACTGACCCAGTCTTAAATATAAGAAATACACCATTGTTGTGCGTCAGTCTCAAATGCAGTAAATATGCGACTACTGTGAGTCAATCTGTAATACAGGAAATTCACCACTATGGTGAGACAGTCCAACTACAGGAAATATATGAATAATGTGGCATTATTAATGTCATATTAAAGTTGTTTTTTTTAAATGACACAAAAGATTTATTCCAAGAAATTGAGATTTAATTTAATTTCTTCTTGAGTAACATCTTAAGCTTAAAGTGGTTTGATATAATTTGGCTGTTTATATATATATATAAAACAGTACTTGTAGGGTTGATCTTGCAGTATGACTGGTTTTAACCAACATGTCTAGTATGCCTTTAAAAATAAAACAGTATTATGAAAGAAGTTGGAAATGTTTTTTATTTATATTAAAAAATCATTGTTTTGGGAGTAAGGAAACAAATTTAGAAACTAGTAGCTATATAAATTATTTGTTAGAAAAGCTCAACATAATAACGTTGAAATATATGTACATATTTTGAAATTGTTTCCACATGCTAAAAAACATTGTCTTTAGACTTTGGAACTTCTATTCATTTCAAAATAATTTACAATCTTCAGTTACACCATTTACATTACTATTATTCTGGAAAGAGTACACTAACCGGAATAGTTTTATTCTAACAGAACTCTGTCTTAACTTCTGGAATCTACAATGGCCAAAACCTGGAACCACTGGAAGTAATGAATTTCCATCTAATGTTAAAAATTTTATGAAGCTAATGTACACTGGGCAGGTTAAGATTTTCTAAATTAGGGATGGCAAATGCAGAAAGCCCTTGAGTAGGTTTGCACAGAATTCAGCAAATTAAACAAACAAAATCATTTTACATCTCTTTCCAAGGAGAACTAAAGAAAACATAAGTGTTAATTAGAAATTCAAATACTTAATTATCTTTCTTGGAATGAAAGTGTTTAAGGACGGGTGTATATCAAGTTTAAATGAGTTAAGATCTCTATCCTTGGTTTCATTAAGCTATTGATTTTTTATTTTATTCTTGCGCAAGGTTACACTGCAAAGGCTATTTACACGTAGCCATCCCAAAGTTTGAGCTGATATAACATCTAGTCAACAGCACCCACCATCAGCTCTTGGGCTACTCTTGTCTGGTTGAACAGTGGTTGTCACACTTATTACACATTCATAACTCCAAAGTATGCAGCGAGTTTTTAAGGCTATGGGATGTGAACCACAAATTTGGTTTTACAGTCCTGGCACCCTATTCATTACCTGCCTCTGTGCTAATGAGAGCTGACATTGCTCGAATTTATACTTATAAACTGGGCATGAAGTTTACATACGTTACCAGATGTAAACTTATAAGTTTTCATATTACAAAAAGGAGCAATTAATAGGTGAAAGCTTTAGTTGGGCAAGGTATTTTAACAAAATACATCAAAACATTAAAGGGACGAGATTTTACGGTTAATCATACTTTGACCAAAGGAACAATACAGCTGAAATTATATTTCGGGGCTACCATTTATTCAGTAAATACAGTTAATTAATTCGTTTAATTTTAGTATACCTCTAATTGCAGCTTGTGTAACATGGGTACTTTCAAATTCAAAGAGGCCCGGAGGCAAAACCTGACTTAATTAACTTATCTGAAAGTCACATTGGTGCAGTCTCTGTAGCTGCAGGTCATAGCTACGACTAATTGTCAATGAACGACATTATATGCAACATCAAACTTTGGAGCTATGGAAGTTCGAACACTACATTTTACTAGATAACCCGTGACCTCTGTGGTTTCAAAGTAGGTCCAGGAGAATCCTGGTAGTATGACATCTGGTATTAATCTACATTAAGACAAAATCTGGTTCGCTTAAACATAAAAGTTCTTTCAGTTGTGTCTAACATATCATCGACTGATAAATTTGCCCCTGACAAAAATATTACCTCCCATCTTCTCACCAGAGATGAACAACTACCAAAATGCTAATAGTCATTTTAAACAATGTTAAAGTGAGCATATTCTCACCTTTGGCTCTCCAAACATGAACTTCCTTGTCATTGGTAGAAACGTGAACTTTGACTCACCTGTGGAGAGCGCTCATTGGTGTCGATATCAATATGATGATTTTGGAAAAAGAGTCCAAATAAGTTATGTTGTCATCTTCAGAGCGGAAGCATGTCTTCTCGATATTAGGCTGGACACAATAGATCTGTTTGTATCGTTTGGTCGCAAATATTATCACCAGTTACCTTTCCAAGTCATAGCGATCCTGTGAGCATTGAACTGGAGATTGTTAATGAAAATGTTGTGCGGGTAGCGATCAATAAGCGGTACAATTGACCTTCTATGAACTTGCCAGTTACCTAACAGCATGTTAACAACCTCCGCAACACCGAAATGATCTCTCGTAAATGTATGTGCTTTCAGCATCTGACAGCCCGTATTTCCGTCGTCAACCTGTAACCACCACCAATAGGAGCATTGCCACACGACCATACGGAAATAATAGCCAAAAGAGCAAATCAACAAATGATCAAATCTGAGTACAGTCTTTTCGGGACGGATACCACGTACAAATTGTGCCAAAACAACCATGAATCTTGCAAGAGGACACGTAAAAATCGTATCGATTTTTGAAATTGCATTAGGGTGTAATTTTTTAAGACCATATGAAATGCTTTTCGTTTTCTTTGATTTTTTAAACAGCAAAGGTAATAATGAACTGTAGACCAGAATATTTATATTAATTTGATCGAAACATTTCAAAAGCTATGGAGCTGGTAACTTCAATAGCAAATACATAGAACCCGGCAGAAAGACTTATCTAACGCGTATTTCTGGGCCGGAAGACACGTATTAAACACATAATTCAAGACTTGCAAGGTGAAATATACAATGTATAACTTCGGGCTGATACTCAAAATACAGACTAAAAAAATCCTTGCTGGTATTATTTAAATATATAATATACAATTCCAGGTTTGGAGACTGAAGTATATGATACACAGTTCTGGACTGCTAGACTAAAATATATAATAGTTCTGGGTTGGGAGACTGAAGTATATAATACATAGTTTCAGAGTGAAACGTGTATTACACAATCTCAGCTGTGACGAACCGTTTTGATATATGAATACATTTTGTTTTTACAAAATCGTGATATTATAAAATTTAGGACAATCCAAACCTCAGTTAAATATGTAACTCTGCTTCCTAAACTACATGGGGGGGGGGGGGGTAATGCAGGTATCTGTTTGTTTATTTTTTCACGAATGAAATTCATCAGATATGTTCTAAGAGCTTTTTGCATTTATCACAAGCCACAATAATGATCACTACTTAATTAGAAAATACTTTGCGTTCTTTAGCTCAAAATCAAACATTCCTGTACCTCCACAAATGGGAAGATCTATCCTTCAAGCATATCGTATTCTCATGATATTTCACTCATGAGCTGAAGTAGTCCCACTAGGGATTTGTCCCAATTAAACTGTTTCTGTTAGAGTAAAACGTGTTGATGAATTAAGTTAAACAGGAAGCTTTGATACAGCTTCACAATTAAAGTTAGTTTTCGTAAATGACTAAAACAGTATTGTTTTCTAACCGTTTCTTGTTCGTTGAAACAAAAAAATGTCACGTGGTTGCGAAAAGGGCAATTGTTATTTCGTGATAAGGGATGCGTTAACCTTTTGAGCTCAAAATGTTAAATTTCTCGAGAGGTCAAGAACAATCGATAAACTAGTGTAATAAGTTTGTTCAACCTACTCTTAGCTAAAGCTGCCTTGAGGTTAGAGGGGGTAAGGAAACCTTAAAATATTGAGGTTTTCTCCACAAGGACCATATATATCTATAATTGGGTCTTATATATACTGTATAAAATTGTTTTGAAAATTACTTACTTAATTAATTAGCATGTCCAGGAATGCTAATCAAATTACTATGGTGATTTTCCTCATAACAATGAATATGAGTTTATAAAAAATCGGGGGGAAAATACCTACAAGATGGCACTACAGTGAATGCCAGCTGTCAAGACAGTTTTTAAATATTTTATATCTAAGGGAACCCTATCATACATGATTGTATTATTTGTTTTTCATCGATTTTTTTACTTTAGATTTTGTTAAACAATAATTTGTATTTTGTTGGCGCCTTTTTGAATTGGATGGCTCTGCTCCTAAGAGACATTGAATTATTGAACAATCAACATAGTACGTTTGGTGAGTCTGCACCTAACCAACATTCAGTTATTGAACAATCAGTGTAATAAGTTTGATGACTCTACTCCTAACTGTTATTAAACAACCAGTGTACGAAGTTTGGTGACCCTACTCGTAACTGTTCTTTTAGTTATTAAACAATCAGTGTACGAAGATTAGTGACTACTACGCTAATCGTTTTTTATTTATTAAACTGATTGTTTACAAAGTTTGGTAACTACTACAAACCGTTCTTTAGTTATTAAACAATCAATGGAATAAGTTTAGCTGCCCTTCTCCCAGCCGTACATTAGTTACTAAACAGCCAGTGTACAAAGTATGGTGATTCTTATCCAAACTGTTGTTTGATTATTCAACAATGTGTATGAAATTTGGTGACCCTACTCCTAACTATTGTTCAATTATTAAACAATCAGTGTACGAAGTTTCGTGACCCTATTTCTAACTGTTGTTTGTTTATTAAACAGTCAGTGTACGAAGTTTGGTGACTCTACTCGTAACTGTTGTTTGGGTATTAAACAATCAGGGTATTAAGTTTGGTGACCTTTCTCCTAACTGTTGTTCGGTTATTAAACAATCAGGGTACGAAGTTTGGTGATCCTACTCCTAACTGTTGTTTGGTTATTAAACAATTAGTGTACGAAGTTTGGTGACCCTACTCCTAACTGTTGTTTGGTTATTATCCAATCAGGGTACGAAGTTTGGTGATCCTACTCGTAACTGTTGTTTGGTTATTAAACAATCAGTGTACGAAGTTTGGTGACCCTACTCCTAACTATTGTTCAGTTATTAAACAATCAGTGTACAAAGTTTCGTGACCCTACTCCTAACTGTTGTTTGGTTATTAAACAATCAGTGTACGAAGTTTCGTGACCCTATTTCTAACTGTTGTTTGTTTATTAAACAATCAGTGTATGAAGTTTGGTGACCCTACTCCTAACTGTTGTTTGGTTATTAAACAATCAATGTGCAAAGTTTGGTAACTACTACAAACCGTTCTTTAGTTATTAAACAATCAATGGAATAAGTTTAGCTGCCCTTCTCCTAGCCGTACATTAGTTACTAAACAGCCAGTGTACGAAGTATGGTGATTCTTATCCTAACTGTTCTTTAGTTATTAAAAAATCAATGTGTTAAGTTTGGTTACTCTGCTCCTAGCCATTCATTTGTTACTAAAAATCAGTGTACCAAGTTTCGTTACTCTACGAAGTTTGGTGACCCTACCCCTAACTGTTCTTTAGTTATTAAAAAATCAATGTGTTAAGTTTGGTTACTCTGCTCCTAGCCATTCATTTGTTACTAAAAATCAGTGTACCAAGTTTCGTTACTCTACGAAGTTTGGTGACCCTACCCCTAACTGTTCTTTAGTTATTAAAAAATCAATGTGTTAAGTTTGGTTACTCTGCTCCTAGCCATTCATTTGTTACTAAAAATCAGTGTACCAAGTTTAGTTACTCTACGAAGTTCGGTGACCCTACCCTAACTATTCTTTAGTTATTAAAAAATCAATGTGTTAAGAGTGGTTACTCTGCTCCTAACCGTTCATTTGTTACTAAAAATCAATGTGTTAAGTTTCATTACTCTACACCTTACCGTTCCTTAGTTATTAAACAATCGGTATACATATTTAGGTAGCAATCAAAGTACGAACTTTGCTGATCCTACCCCTAACTGTTCTTTAGTTATTAAAAAATATCTAAAGTAACTTATTGTACCCTACTCCTAACCATTCTTTCGTTAATGAACAATCCGTTTATTAAGTTTGGTGGCCCTTCTAACTTCTCTTTAGTTATCAAAAATCAGTGTATGATGGTTCTATTCCTAACTGTTTTTTAGTTATGTAAAAATTAGTGTACGAATTTATTGACTTTACTCCTAATCGTTCATTAGTTATTGAATTGTAATACCTGTTGTATTGACCTTTGAAATATATGTATGTATTTTTTCTTCCAGCTATTGCCAAATACAATCTAAGCACCAGTTTATTGTATTTTTGCCCTAGATTTAGATTAGCAACCCATGTTATATTTTTAGCTTTGAAAATATTTATTTTCCAGTAGGTGCTAAGAAGGATGCAAGTAGAGATAAGTTGATGATTTTTACCATTTCTTATTGAGGACTAAAGTTGTGGTTAATCAGCATGAGGCTCTTTACGCTCACAAGGACCGACTTACGTCGTTAACGTGGCTAACGAAGAATCAATAAAGGTGGTTAAGATCCCCCTCCCTTTTCCGCTGCCTCTATGGTAAGCTTTAACAATTCGATTTCCCGTTGTGCATACAACGCATATAGCCCACCGCTTAAGAAAAATACAACTACCTGTTCAAAGGTTCATAGAAATAGAAGGAACTAAAAACAAAAATGTCTGTCTCCGTTTATTAAACTTATATTGAGTAAAATCAACCTTTTCTTTCTGCAATTATTAAAGTATACGGTATTTGAAATAATTATGGACATGTCCTGGTTCATACACATACACTAGTCACTGGAATTAAAAAAGTACATCTAAACAGTGAATTTAGTATTAGTTAAATATGTTATTTCAGAAATATAAAATACAAATGAAAAAGTTGTTCAGTGCACTAGTATTTTGTATTTGCTTTAAACAGAGCAATATACCTTGCTTTTATGCTACCACAATCCCACTTCGTTGGTAAAAGAGTAGCCCAAGAGTTGGCGGTAGGTGGTGTTGACTACCTGCCTTCCCTATACTCTATTACTGCTAAATTAGTGACGTCTAGCGCAGATAGCTCTTGTGTAACTTTGCGGAAAATTCAAAACAAATCATTTATACTACCACAAGTTTGTCAATTTATGATTGTGTAATATTGTTTCAAATGTCATGTATTACTCTCTACAAATCATATAAATTGTTTGATAGCCGTTTCGTTTTCTCAGTTTCCATATAAGTCCATACAGTCTTAACTATATTCATACTGAGACTTTATGCAGGCCTAGTCATGGTTGTGAGTAATTCATCGGCCTCTTTCCCCCGCCCCCCCCCCTCTTTCTATATAATGTTGCCAAACAATTTGAATTTGGATTTACCTGTAAAGATAACCCTCCTACAGCTTAGTCCTCCGGTGGGACAGCGGTATGCCTTCCGATTTACAACATTCAAATCAGGGTTTCGATTCCCCTCGGTGGACACAGCAGATTTCCAAATGTGGCTTTGCTATAAGAAAACACACCTACAGCTTCTTTCATCCCACTGCTTTAAGTTGGATATCCATTCTGTTCTCGTAGTTCGATTAGCTCTCCTAAGCAATAGTTTTGAGCAGCAACACATAAATTGAGGCCACTTTGTGCTAATGGAGCTTTGTGCTCTTCTGGAGGTAACATTCACAGTTTTATAACTACAGTTAAGTCATCCGCATAGTCTCTACTGGATTGTCACTTATCACGTAAAGAGTGTACTTTGAAGTACTAAACTTAACTTTTGAAGAGTTTGAGCTTTCCATCTCATTGCTGTTTTTTTTTTATTAACAATACTAATTTAACTTATCCTCTTCAGTTTCTATACAGTTGTTATTGAAACATAAAAATTTAACCTCAATCAGTTGCATGTAGTAGCCTTTACCATCCCAAACTTTGTTTTTTTTTAATATATTTCGTATGATAGTTCTTTCCTGGGAGCGATGAGTGCATTACCATACTACTGCTGGGAATAGTATGACTACCTGTACGTGTATGGGAATTAGGCCAGTGTGGCACTGTCTGACTGGTCAGTCACAGTGTAAACTAGAAACACGTGTACATATTATTTTGGTGTTCGTTTTCATGCAATAAAGTGGAACAATCCCATAATATTTATTTCGTACCAAATTTATTCACTCCTTCCATTGTATTTTCAACCTATACTTCTTATTCCTTCAGATTCATTTATAGTATCTGATGAAACATGAAGCTCTATCCACGTAAGATTTCCCCTACTTGTAATAATAATACTATTAAACTGATTCTGAAGAAATTACACGTTTAAAGGGATTTGTAATTCCATACTTTATCTCCCAGTAAGTGCGTATGTCTTATGTTCGGCTTGTATGTTCCTACTTTGAATTTTTAAACAAAAACAAGACATATATATTTTTCACCATAATTCACTTAAATTGTTTAAAACTACAGTTACAAAAACTGCACAAATTAAATAATGCTTGCCGTTTTGACCTTTGACTTTAAACGCCACCTTTTATTCTCGGATATTTCAGACAACCTATCTGCAGAGTTAATTTTCTTATGCTGACAAACATTACACTAAACGTTCCATGACGTCATAACTAACGCCGAACAGATAGAAAAGAAAACATAATAACATTTGAAATCATCTTTAATATACGTCAGAATTCAACCCACAAAGTTGAAAACAACTTTAATAAGTGTCCTAACGCACAGCACTATATCATTACAAATCCTTGTTCTTTCTTTTAATAAGTATCATATATATTTGTCATTGCTTTCTAGCTTCTACTCATTTGCATTGACGTGATTGGCCTTGCAGTAACACGTCAGTAATATCCAATAATAATTAAGCAAAACCAACCAATAAAAAAACAGACAAGTGAGATTCGTTAATTAAAGGAAAATGCCAATTTGTCCCATTCTGTCCATGTTGTTATTACTTTAAAAGAAACAGGACAAAGTGCTGAAGTGAATTTAGTAATATCTTAGAATTGACAAGTCTAATGTTTTTCAACGTAAACAAGATCATCACCTTAGATATAATGTTTTACAAGCCTGTCTCACCATCACTTTAGAGAGTATGTTTTACAAGCCTGTCTCACCATCACTTTAGAGAGTATGTTTTAAAAGCCTGTCCCACCATCACTTTAGAGAGTATGTTTTACAAGCCTGTCTAACCATCACTTTAGAGAGTATGTTTTACAAGCCTGTCTCACCATCACTTTAGAGAGTATGTTTTACAAGTCTGTCTCCGACTGAAAGGTTAATCTAAATTGCAGAAAAGATGTCTATAGAAGAAAGTTTTCCGTATTTGGAAAAGAGGTTGGTTTCTAGTTTAAATGCCTAGTTTTAATATATTTTGAAAAACAAAAGATGGAATAAAAACTAAGGTAATTAAAAACAATTCCCAAATTATAGAATTTTTTTTCTAAAGTTTACGTTTTCATATATTCGGTGGGAAATTTATTTTATAATTTCATGACCTCATAGTTATCATAACTGAATGACTCAGTAAAACCTTATTTTGTAGAATCACTGTAGGGCAGAAATGCAAGTATCGTAGTGTGGATAATTAATGATTTTATGTGTGCTTTTGAATTATATGACTTGCTATTTTTCTTGTAATTGATGTATTTTTTAGAAAAAAGTTTTAGTATTCAGTATTTTATTTAAAACATCTCATATTATAAGTTGAGAGAAATTTCAAATGACTCGTTTAAGTGAAGTTCTACGATAACAATGTTCTAATTCGTCGATATCGTATTCTCTTTAATTGTATTCGTCAGAATGTGTATAAACATTATCTGTACACTTCTTTTTAGCATTAATGTTACCCAGGAAAATATTAACTGTGGCACAAAAAGTTCAACCAATTTTTATGAAAGTTATCCAAAATCCATACTAAGCGTTTCTAAGGTTCGTGAAAACCCAGAACCTTGCAGGTCAGTTGACTGTGAACAAGAAATCTTTTCGGTGGACACCGGTAGTCCTAATAAAATTTTCCTGGGTGGTTTGGGATGCCCAGTTCTTACACTGTCTGTTAAAACACAGACTCTTTATACGGGCACTTTACACGAAGGTTTATGTGCTTCTTCAAGTATTTGTAAAGAGTGCAAGACTTCTCCATCAGAAACCAAAGCGCAAAAAGATGAAATCAAAAGTTTGAAAAAGAAAGCTGTAGAGGAACGACCCGAGAACGCACCTGAAAGTGGTGTATCTTTATCAGATCTACACATTAAACCTCAAAGGCAAACATTAACTCTGGGTGTTAATACAGCCGAAGTAACATTATTTACGTCTGACAAATTACCAGACACAGCGGTTGCCAGCTGTTCTTCCACTGTCTCACCAGGTAAAAAGATTAAAGTTTGTAAGTGGGAAGACTGTGACGAGAGGCTTTTCCCTGACCAGATTTTGGAACATATTTGGAATGTTCATATTGAGCCCCAAAAAGAACAGAAGAACTATGCTTGTTTATGGAAGGATTGCAAGGTATCTAAGTAGTGTTAAGTATCATAGAATTAACGATTTAAAATATGCTGAAAAGTTATATACATTTATAAGTATGTTGGTAATAGTACATATTTTCAAAAGGAGTGTGGTAAAACATGATTTCTTGTTTGTCTCTCCAAACAAGGATTTCAAAGGATAATTTAGTCTTTGGAGTGTTTGGATTGTAAAAGTTAAAGGAAAATTACTATTGTATTTCAGAACTGTACTTATACAATGAATAGTGTGAGATACAAATTATAATTTTCTATTTTTCTGATCAAAGCAGCTTTTCTTAACTGAAACAAAGTAATAAGAAGCGATAAATTAAATGGTTTATTTTTATTACGCCCATGCCCCCACTGTTTCAGCGGTAAATCTGAAGTTTTATAACGCTAAAAAAACAGGTTTCGATACCCTTAATGGGCACAGCACAGATAACCCATTGTGTAGCTTTGTGCTTAGGAAAAAACAAACATGTTTAATAAGGTTTCATATATATGTTTAGAAAATTTAGTTCTTTTTTTTATATTTCTGTACCGATATTTAGTGCATGAGAAAATGACTACATAAACTGGAGTAAACAACGAAAGCGAAGCATAAATAACAGTAGGCTAGTTACGGGCTATGAAGTATAGGCTAGTTACGGGCTATGAAGTATAGGCTAGTTACGGGCTATGAAGTAAACAGATTTAGTGCATGAGAAAATGACTACATAAACTGGAGTAAACAACGAAAGCGAAGCATACATAATAGTAGGCTAGTTACGGGCTGTGAAGTATAGGCTAGTTACGGGCTATGAAGTATAGGCTAGTTACGGGCTATGAAGTATAGGCTAGTTACGGGCTATGAAGTAAACAGATTTACCTCTGATTTGAATTTGGAGAAAAATTAATAACCACGAAATCAAGATAGTTAATTTCAATTTCAATAGTATCGGGGGGATAATTAACGGTGTGATAACCAACAATTATCCCCATCCAATGAGAAATTATAAATCTTAAACTAACAAACATAACCAGTCGTCAAACTAATGTAAAATTCATTTCTAACTTTGTTGTATTAAATATGTATAATAAAGCTTGTTATTTTTTAACATGCCATACGATATTTAGTGTATCAAGTATTGTCACAAGTAAAAGTTATTGCTTCAATAACATAAATGCGAAAGTGTTTACATTACGTAGTTTCAAGGTTCGCGTAAAAATATGTGATTTCCTATATCAAATAATGTATTAAACACCGTATTTTTGAAGGATTTTGTTAAACTGTATTTTAATTTGAAGTATGATTATTTCTTTGAAGAATAAATGTATGCAAATCTAAAATTTATAATTACTAAACAAAAATTGAATATAACAAACATGCTAATATGGTTGTCAGTTACACACGTTCTAAACAACATCCTGCACACCAAAAACGTCGTGTCAACAACACATTGGAAACGAAAAGTGGTCGTTAGGTGCTGAAATATTTTTTTATTTCGAAAGTTACGGGTTTCCATCACACGTTTTCTGAAATTGAAATAACATTTGTATCTAATATTCTGTGGAGTAAATATTATTCTAGCATATTAAAATATCTTTAAGTTTTCTGTAACCCATTATTCCTAAAACAAATATAATGAATTGCGATCATAATTTTCTAGTAGTGAGAAAGTAGGTGCGGCATTATTTACTTTATATACTCTTTCCTCATAGTACAGTATTATAGTAGAGTATTATAGTAGAGTGTTATAGTAGAGTATCATAGTACAGTATTATAGTAGAGTATTATAGTACAGTATTATAGTAAAGTATTATAGTAGAGTATTATAGTAGAGTATTATAGTAGAATATTATAGTAGAATATTATAGTAGAGTATTATAGTAGAGTATTATAGTAGAGTATTATAGTACAATATTATAGTAGAGTATTAAAGTAGAGTATTATAGTAGAGTATTATAGTAAAGTATTATAGTAGAGTATTATAGTAGAGTATTATAGTAGAGTATTATATTAGAGTATTATAGTAGAGTATTATAGTACAGTATTATAGTAGAGTATTATAGTAGAGTATTATAGTAAAGTATTATAGTAGAGTATTATAGTAAAGTATTATAGTAGAGTATTATAGTAGAGTATTATAGTAAAGTATTATAGTAGAGTATTATAGTAGAGTATTATAGTAAAGTATTATAGTAGAGTATTATAGTAAAGTATTAT